CCAGTAACAAAACGCTATGCTTGATTAAACATTTCTCATATGTAGTAAACACAGTGGCGGACCCACAGGGCCAGCAAGGCCTTCTCTGCTGGCCTAAACATTCTCAGAAAAGTAAATGTACTTTTCTGAGAATAACATTAATTGTTATTTTATTTTCATAAATATGTAAACAAAATTATTCTCTGTATTCTTTACGTCATATCATTTCCACTTAGTCGAGTGGCTTTCAATGTTATTTTAAATAACACTGAAAGCCACTCGATAAATAACTTATTTACTATGGTAGAGTTTTTAACCAATCATATTTCAGCTAGCTTGTGTTGCCAGGTAAATTAAACTTGCTTGGGGCCTTCAGATTAAACAGAGCAGGCCCCTGTGCGCTGTAAATGAACGGGCACAGTCATGTTGCAATAGCCAATCAGATCACGAGTCTCAGACTGTTGTATCGCCGATTTTCAAAATGCAAATGATCTGTTTATTTTCAAAGAATAGTTTGTTTTGTTATTGTTTGGTTGGTGTCGTATATGAAACTGCGACATTGCGCAATTTATTGGACAGACTTGTTTAAGATCACACAGCGTAATTTGGGTGGCATTTTATTTCGTATTTTTAAATCATCTTTTTATTTTTGACTATCTGTAAATTTAGTTTCCTGCTCTTAATTGTGAATGCATACTTGATGGTTTTAAATGGTCCTGAAATTAAGTGCTGCTTGACGAGCCTATACAGTATTGTGTTCATGTATGTGACGTCACTGAAGGCCTAAGGTTGAAATGCACGGCCCGCCACTGAGTAAACTTGTTAGAGTACGTTGTAGAATGTTGCAAAGCTATCTCCATAGCTACAGTTACTTGGTTGACCACTTGAACGTTGATTAACATTAAAAAATACAACATTCAATGTATAACACGCTTGTCCATATAGTTATCTAAAGGTTCACAAAATACCTGTCAGAATAAAATTACACTGTACAGGGATATTACCAGACAGAAAACAAATACAAAAAATATTTTACAATATACAAATAAATTAAGTAGGATTATAAGGATCGGTAAGAAAGAATATTTTAGGAATATACGAAATAATAGCAATCATAATGATGAAGGCTGATGGAAGAATTAAATCGTATTCCAAGAGATGGTGCCAAACAAAGCAATTTGCCAGAATATTTCTGTGAAAATGTTCCTGAAAACTAGAATATGGAAGAGGCAGCAGGTCGCTTAAATCAGTTTTTTGTTAATGTAGACCCTGGGGACTTCAACCATGTCTCTCTGTCGTCCTCCCTTACTACCTTCACGCAGTATGTAACCTGTGCCACCAAAGACAATAAAATTTTGGACTTGTTTTATGCCAACACCAAGGAGGCATATACACCCCACCCCTTCCCCCCTCTTGGAAGAGCAGACCACAACTTGGTATTTCTCTAGCCTGTGTACAAACCCTTGGTGCACAGGCAGCCAGCTGTGACCTGCATGGTCAGAAGATGGTCCACGGAGGCTGAAGAGGCTCTGCGGGACTGCTTCGACTCAACCAGGTGGGAGCTCTTCAGTGAGGTTCATGGGGAGGACATTGAGTCACTCACCGACACCATCACGGACTACATAAACTTTTGCGAGGGAAACACCGTACCCACCAGGACTGTATAGTGTTTTTCCAACAACAAACCATGGATTACTCCTGACATAAAGGCCCTCCTGAGGGAGAAGAAGAGGGCTTTGTGTCAAGAAACAGAGAGGAGCTGAAGGCCGTGCAGATCCAGCTGAGGAGAAGGATCAGATAGGGGAAGAAGGCCTACAGGATGAAAATGGAGGACCAGCCACAGGCCATTAATGTCACTGGTCTCTGGAGGGGCCTGAAAACCATCACAGGCCAAGAAAGCCCAAAGACATTGACTGAGAAGGACAAAGACTGGGCAGATGAACTGAACCGTTTTTTCAACCGGTTCCACCAGATGTCTGTCCCTCCCCCAACAACCATGTCCCTCCCCCAACAACCAGCAACCCCTGCAGCTGCACCCATTCTCACAGTGGACTTCCCCTCCCCCCTCTCCTCTTACGACCAACTTCCAACAACACAGTCTGTCTCCTGGTTCCTGCCTGTCTGTCACGACAGCGCAGGTGAGGAACCTACTGAGGAAGATGAATGTGAGGAAGGCAGCAGGTCCCGACAAGATCAGTTCCCGGCTCCTCAGAACCTGCTCCGACCAGCTGTGGGACATTGTCCAGCACATGTTCAACCTGAGCCTGAAGCTGGGCAGAGTTCCACAGCTGTGGAAAACTTCGTGCCTGGTCCCAGTGCCCAAGAACCCCCACCCGAAGGAGCTCAACAGCTACAAACCAGTGGCGCTGACGTCTCACCTGATGAAGACGCTGGAGAGACTCGTCCTCGCCTACCTGCATCCGCTGGTGAGCTCATCACTGGACCCGCTACAATTTGCCTCCCAGCGCGGCATCGGTGTGGAGGACGCCATCATATACCTCCTCCACTCGGCGCTGTTACACCTGGAGAATGCTGGGAGCACTGTTAGGATCATGTTCTTTGCTTTCTCCAGTGACATCAACACCATCCAGCCCAACCGACTGGAGGACAAGCTGCGGCACGCCAGAGTGGACCACCACTTCACATCATGGATTACAGATTACCTCACAAACCGGCCACAGTATGTGAGGGCACAAAGCTGTGAGTCGGACAGGCTTCTCTGCAGCACTGGGGCACCGCAGGGGACTGTCCTGGCTCCATTTCTGTTCACCCTCTACACCTCGGACTTCAGATACATCACTCCAACTTGCCACCTTCAGAAGTTCTCTGACGACTCTGCGATTGTAGGCCTCATTACAGAGGGAGACGATCGGGAGTTCAAGGGACTGACGAAGGACTTCATGGACTGGTGCCAGCAGAATCGCCTCCAGATCAACCCCGGAAAACTAAGGTGTTGGTTGTGGATTTCTGCAGGAAACAGTCCTCAATTGCACTGATGAACATCCAAGGTACGGACATAGAGAGGGTGCCCTCCTACAAGTACCTGGGTGTTCTTCTCAACAATAAACTTGACTGGTCTACCAACACGGACGCCCTGATCAGGAAGGAATAGAGCCGCCTCTTCCTACTCAGGAAACTGAGGTCTTTTGGGGTTCAGGGGTCACTCCTTTAGACCTTCTATAACTCGGTGGTGGCTTCAGCCATCCATTATGGCATTGTCTGCTGGTCAGGCAGCATCTCGGCCCGGGACAGAAAGAGACTGGAGTGACTGGTCAGAAGGGCCAGTTCTGTCCTGGGCTGCTCCCTGGACACTCTGGAGGAGGTGGGCAACAGGAGGATGCTAGCTAAGCTAAAAGCTATGATGGACAGTCCCTCCCACCCCGTCCAGCCCGGCCTGACAGCACTGGGTAGCTCCTTCAGCCAGAGACTGTTAGACCCGCACTGCAAGAAGGAGAGATACCGCTGCTCGTTCCTACCGACTGCTGTTAGGCTGCTGAATAAACATGCGTGAAAACCTGTAATCATTGTGAATAGCACAGGCACCTTATGCTTCCTATATGCAGTTGCATATATGCTTATATCTATATCTTATATTTATATTGCATTCTATAGTGTGTACAGTTCTTTTTCTGAAACATTTATTTATTTTGTGCATGCAACACTTTTATTTTTTTCTTTTCTACCCACCCCCCTCCCCCGAGCCCCCCCAATTTTGCTGCTGTAGACTGCAAATTTCCCCAGCGTGGGACAAATAAAAGTTATCTTATCTGATCTAAAAAAACAATCACAGATCATGGGTCAGATGGGGAGCATATGGGGAAATTGGCAAAGAGAAATCCCTGCTCAATATTCCTTATTAATGCAGTGGAGGAAAATGAAATTTTGGACATAGTAAAAAAGTGTAAAAACAATCTACATATTTTAATGATGTAGACATGTCATTGGTTAAACAGGACAATGAAGGCTTCTCTAAGCCGTACACTTACATATGCAACTTATCATTCTGAATTGGTTAATTTCCAATCCAAACCAACAAACTCATTATCAATAAAATTGTCGTCTGCCCCTAAATCTACCATCATTTGAGCGAAGACCGAGTTGTTGGGGGAGCAGACAGTGGCAGGCAAGTTAATTCAATGCGAAAATTCACAAAAGGTCTTAGTGTCACTCACCCTAATGCTGCGTTCTATGGTCCTAAGAGGGCTCTTCGGTAGAAGTGAGCACTAATTGATGAAGTGCCTGGGCCTTCCAAAATAGATGCAAAGACGCTGTGCGATGTGTTCCTCCAGGGAGAGGTGGGTTCTGCCGAGTTGCATGGCTTCTTCTTCAGTGAGAGCAGATGTCTCAGGGCTTCTGAAAGGCTGGGCGACCAGTCAAGGAGCAACACTGCGAGGGGAGGAAGGGCGATCAGGTGTGACACTCCAAGGACATTCCCTGATACGATTGTCAATCCGAATCACCAATGAGATTAACTGCTTGAGAGACTCAGGCTCATCCCGAGTAGACAGCTGATCATGAAGCTCCTCTGAAAGTCCACCAACGAAAGCTGTTTTTTTGTCCACCGTCATTCCATCCACTTTCAGAGGCTAAGATCCTGAACTTCATGGCAGAATCTGCAGCTGATTGCGTACTCTGACATAATGACAGTGGCCGTTTGCCTGAAGACTCATGAAGGGCTGATCAAAGACTGAATGCATCTCCTCAGAAAAAAAAAGCAAATGATTCCAATGTTTTTGACTTTGACTCCCACAAGGAATTGGCCCACCTCCCTGCTCTTCCCCGAAGCAAATTAATGACATTGGCCAACTTGGTGCGATTGTCTGAATATGCACTAGGTTGTTGGTCAAAAACCAAGGAACAGTCCAATAGGAATCTCCCATGTCCACTGAATAATGTTCAGGTGATGGGATGTTGGGTTCCTGGTGACAAGACACAGCAGTAGTTAACTCATTCAGTACCAGCCAATGCTAGACCAAGTCTGAAAAGATGTTTAAAAACGTCTTTGGGAGTGAATGAGTTAATTAGTAGATCATTCCCTGATTGGAGGTGTGAGGCTGGGCTGGAGTAGGTGATGAAATCCATGGTGGACCATTGGATGTCAACTTGCCGGCAATTGAGTTGATGTTAGTGCAAAGGTTTAGAATAGACTCCATAACCTCCTGAAGGAACTCCTTGTGTCTGCCGAGCAGTGCTCATGGCTTGGAGAATTTTGTCATCTGAGTCTGCTAGGTCCATGACTGGTCTGCACGTACTGTCACGTGAGGAGCATAATTTGGATCCAGAAGCAGACAGGAGACGAAAATGGCGAAGTAAATATCTTTTTATGCAAAATTTCCAAGTAAAAAACAGAGAGCAGGATTGGACGCAGCAGGGCATAGAAGGCTTTACATTCTGATACGTAACTGAGTAACACAAGTTTATATCGAGAAACACAAGCCTAGCCCTGTGTGACGGGACCAAATAAAGGACCAAGGCAACAAACAACATCAAGGACACAAATAGCCAAACTCTGTCACAGTCACAACAGAACGCCCTCCAGGACTCCACTCCAGCCAGAGCCGAAACAAAAACAAAGACAGAGCAAAACCATGACAAAAGGATGCCATGAGTGTTTTGATAGCATAACAATCTAGACTGTAAAAACTGCTGTGGGTGGTTGGGTATGTATCCTTTGGTTCTTTAAAAGAAGTCACTATTGATTTTACACTTTCCTAAAAAGGGATCAGTTGTCTTGTGTTCATCATTCATTTCTTTATCAGGTTTTCTTAGAGGCACATCGAACAAATAAGAATGTGTTGTTAAAATATGATATCTAGTAAATACTGTGCAGTATGTTTTAAAAGACTGCTTTTGAAGAATACATTCTCTTTCCTATTTTTTTACGTTTATTAAAGTGAGTCACGACAATTTGAAAATGCAAGCCTGGTGTGACAACAGCGGTCAACTTGTTTACTATATTGTGTTTAATTCAACGAGTAATGTCAAAGACAATTTTAGCCTGAATTTGATACACCTTGACCCTATGATAGTTCAGTTTTAAAAAGTGTGAATTCTGTTGGTAGCTGGACCATAATGACAGCACACGTCTGCGGGCAGATCTATTACAAACATTGTGATTGTGTGGGGCAGTCTTAGTCGAGGCTTTAGCGAAGCAAAGGGCAGACAAAGGGCTAGAATCCAAGAATCTGTCAGAAATTAAGGCTGCCTCTGGCTACTTTCCACTTTAAGGACGTCTGACGTTTGGTATTTGCTGTGAAAGCTTTTGTCTACACAATAAAAGGCTGAATAGACCCCAGAGGCCTTTTCTGTGTTCTTGTCTGCCTTCCTTGTCCTTTCATTTGTACACGTCGACATTGTCATGGCAGTTTTCTTGCTTTCTCTTCTCTTGTGGATCTCATTCAGACACAATTTCTTTTTCTTTACAGCATCCTGATATTGTGCTGGGAGGGTTACCATTCAATTACCAAGCATCTTAACTGAATTCAAGATACAAGCACATCTGTGAAATAAAACATACGGTGCAGCTGTTGCAATGACTATGTCATGTAGAATATTACTCATTTAATTTTCCTTAACATTTATTTTGTGAATGCAAACACTTTTTTCTTCTTTGTTCTTTCTACCCACAATATTGCTGCTGTAGACTGTAAATTTCCCCAGTGTGGGACGAATAAAGGATGATCTTATCTTATCTTAAAGCAACTGGACTTTATTTTCCATCCAACCATTATTCAAGCTGCTTTATCTTCATGAGGGTCGCTTGCGTGCTGGATCCTATCCCAGCTGTCTTTGGGCAGCCTACACAAAGGGAGTGGGGCTGTTCAGCAGGCTGAGGGCCGTCGTAGGAAGACCGGGGCTTGTGACGGCCTGGGCGAGCCATTGAGGAGCGACGCGAGGGGTTCCCGGTGAAAAGGTGAAGCAGCATTGGGTAAGACGATCACTCCCTGATTGGAGAAAGAGGGATGGTTAGGAGCAGGTGGTGAACTCTGTGCTCATGTCTGTCTGTGTTTGTTTTTGTTTCAGCTCCAGCTGTACAGAGAGCGTTACCATCCAGCCTGTTTCCTATCATCATCATGCCTTGTATGCCTTGGCCTCCAATTTCGGTCACTGTTCGTCGGATTATTGAGCTTGGTTACTGTTTATTCTTGATGCTAAGTGTTATTTTCTTGACCTCTCAATCTTGTTCATAGTTGTTTTTGCTCTCTTAATTTCTTGTTTTGTAAGCATTATCTTTATTTAGTGATTTGATGTTCTTGTTTTTTTCGTTTAAATTGCACTGTTGTCATTTCATTTGTATTCCCTGTGTTACTATAACCTTGCCTTTTGCGAGCGCCTTTTGTTGAGTTCTCTTTTTTCCCTGGATTCTTATGACCAGCGATTTCTGTTTTGGACTTGGGTTTTGTGTTTTTGAACAATAAGCATTTTAATTCTTCATATTTTGTCTCTGTCTGAATTTCTGGCATCCAAAACATTTTTCGGTTTGTTGTTGAACTTGTCATCTGTGGCTTGAGGGATTGTGTCAAGAGTTTGATGGGTCCTTGATGTCATGATTCTGTTTGTGCCCAACAGGTGGCACTGTAGGGCTCCCCCTGCAGCTGCACACCTGTTGGCCGTTATGTATAAAAGGACTCCCGCCCGACCACTCATTGTCGGATCATTGTTGCTGTTTGTTTGCTACTGTCATGTCCCTGTCAGGTTGTTGTAATTTTTTGCTTCAGTCTTGGTTTTTGTTTGCTACTTTGGATTATTTTTGTTTTCATGACTTTGTTTGTTCTGGATTTAGTTTCTGTGTTTTAATACAGCTCATCAAGTTCACCCTGCTCCTCCCTCCTGCCTGCTTTTTGGGGTCCTCCACCACCACGCAACGTGACACTTGACTGGTCAGTACGTACTGTCACGTCCATCGATCCATTTTCCGATTCACTTTATCCGCACAAGGGTCGCGGGGAGTGTTGGAACCTATACCAGCCGTCTTCGGGCGGTAACCGGGGGACACCCTGAACCGGTCGCCAGCCAATCGCAGGGCACACAGAGACGAACAACCATCCGCGCTCACACGCACACCTAGGGACAATCTAGAGTGTTCAATCAGCCTTCCATGCATGTTTTTTGAATGTGGGAGCAAACCGGAGTACCCGGAGATAACTCAGGCTGGATGCAGAAGACAAGAAAGAGAGCAGAAGAAGAGTTGACGTGCTGACATGCCACTGAGTAACTTGAGCTTTTATACTGTGAGACATTGGGCCGATATGACAGAATGTCAAGAGTTTTTCTCGGACAAAGTTAAAGAAATGACTCGGCAGAATGAAAGTGACATACCAAAAGTACCACAGCATAAAGGCCCACAGCAATTTACAAGGTAACGGAAACATCTAAAATCAACAATTCACAACAGAAAGCCCATTATTGACAAGGTCCACGTGGAAAGCAAACCAGAAAAAGTTGTTGCTCAAGAACTTGGCTGTTCTCAGAGTTCAGTGTTCAAACACATTATAGCAAGGTTGAGTGGAAGGAAAAAATAGAAAAAGATGCACAATAAATATGGATTGCTGCAGCCTTGATTGGGATTGACAAGGAAAATCCATTCCATAAATTTGTGAATTTCAAAGGGAGTGGACTGTTCCTCCTTGAACGAAGGAGCAGATAGTTGTCCTGTTCTCCTACGGTCGCTGCACATCTCCTGTTGCACTGGCCTGTTGCTTGGTATCTCCTCCAAGCTTTTGATATTACCGTGCCGAGAGACACATTAAACCTTCTTGCCACAGCGCGCATTGATGCATCATCTTAGCTGAGCTTCACAACATGAGCAACTTCAGTGGTTTGCGAATACATCCTCATGCAATCTCAAGTGGTAAGGGCATTAGCATAATTGGAAAAAAAAATCTCAATCAGCTAGAAAGGATGTGGACAGGGAAATAGTCTGGAATTACTATCACCTGCAGAGCCATTCGTTTATTGGGGTTGTACCTCGAATTGCCTCACATGACCACCTGCTGTTTGCTCCATTTGCAAAAGAGCAGTGTTGCTTCGAACTGTTTGATAACAGGCTGATATCCCCAAAATGTGTTGGGCTTTGAAATACATAAGAGTGATTATGTTCATCCATGATCCAAGCCGCTTTGCCTCACGAGGGTTGTGAGTGTGCCATCTTCGGATAGTATGCGGGGTATACCCTGAACTGGTTGCCAGCCAGCTGCAGGGCAGACAAAGACAAACAACCATTCGCATTTCACAAATCGTACTTAAGAACAATATAGAGTGTGCAATTCACCTACCATTAATGTTTTGGAATGTGGGAGAAAACCCACGCAGGCATAGTTAGAACATGCAAACTCTACACAGATGACCCGGGATCGAACCCATGACATCTATACTGTGAGGAGGATGTGCTAATCAATCGATTACCGTCATATCTCGATATAATTTATTTTAAAATGGAACCATTTGTTTCTGTTCGAATCAGTGCATTCATCTTTTACATCAAAACTGATTTTCCGATTCAAATCATTTTTTGTTCCACCCCTAAAAATGATTTTAATTAATACAGTAATTTTTCATTTTCAAACTGCATAATGTTTCAATGTTTTGCATTCACTACAATTCGTTTTTTAGGAATAAAACCTCTGTGTCGTTTTTGCGCAACTGCATTTTAATGTTGCGGTGCTAAATATTTGGTGGGACTTGATGTAAAATGTAAAAACAAAAAAACACACAGTTGGACATCATGTATTCATCAAGGGGTGTTTAATCAGGTGAGTTTGCAAAGTATGACCTTATTGCAAATGTTGCATTGAGGTAACTGGCCATTTATTTTAAAGCATTTGTTAAGACACTTTCCTTTGCATACGGAATGGCACATGCATTTGTAATAAAATATAAAATATTCGGTCGAACAGATTTTCGATTGATATTGGTCATGTGTCTATCACTGTACATTCCGATATTGATTTAGCCCTACTTCTGACCCCAACTGTATGTTGAATATTACAGGTTCTTCTTCTGTGGATAGTCTGACCAAAATATTCACGTAAATAGGAAATAACTATGAACTGTCAACACGGATCACAATTAGATTGGTTCAGTGGTTATTTTGATCCAATCTACACTGGAGATGATGATGATGATCAACCTCATCACTAAAATGCATTCTTTTTTTTTTCCATCCCTGCTGGTTTAATCTTCAAGCAAATACCGTATTGGCCTGAATATAAGACGGTGTTTTTTGCATTGAAATAAGACTGAAAAAGTGGG